GGCCAGGTGCAGTGGTTCACATCTGTAATCCCAGCACTTTGGGAGGCCGAGGCAGGCACATCACTTGAGGTCAGGAGTTCAAGACCAGCCTGGCCAACACAGTGACACCCTGTCTCTACTAAAAATACAAAAATTAGCCAGGCATGGTGGTAGCCGCCTGTAATCCCAGCTACTCGGGAGGCTGAGGCAGAGAATTAAGGCTAGGAGGCGGAGGTTGCAGTGAGTCGAGATTGCACCACTCAACTCCAGCCTGAGCAACAGAGACTCCGTCTCAAAAAAAAAAAAAAAAAATCATAGTTTTGAAAGCTTCAGGGTTCATGCTGTAGCACTATCAGCAAGATCTATGTGGGATCATGCATGGCACTAGCTCCTCTCACTAGACGCTTGATGTCTTAAGTAACACTGTATGCTACAGGCTGTGTCATTAAATGCAAAACCACCACCAAACTTTCAGTGACTAAGTCTGGGGACTAAGGGACGATCTGTTTATCCCTGTAAGACCGACCTTACAGAGCTAATTTGCTACATATCTGTGCTGCTAGGCTTGAGGCAGCGGTTCCCAAACAGAAATACCAGAATTTCCTGGGAAACTTTTAAAAACTACACAATTAAATTAAATAAGAATATCTCAGGGCAGAGCTTACAGTTTTAAAAGCTCCCAAGTGATTCTAATATGTGACCAGGGTAGAGAACCACTAAGGTGAGGTCCAATGATCAAAAAGCTCCTCAGATAGCTGGAATATTTAACCCACCTGGGGTTAAAACAGAACTGCCTTAAAGGGACTGTGTAATCAAAGTTTTGACATTAAGAGTGCTGACACATTCTTATTAGTGTATACTTACAATTAATATGGCTACAAAACAGGCTATGGTTGTGTTCCAGTCTCCACTGGCTGTTGCTGAGGCTTTACCAACCAGAACACTGTAGAAAATGAAATCTCCCAATCCAAGTTTTACTCCCCCTAAAAAGGAAAGATTACAAGTATAAAAAGGTTGGTCACTCTTTGCTATGATTTCACAATTCAAAAATATCACTGCCCTACTCAACCCCACAATGAATGAGAGAAGTCAGTAAATGATATACAAAATTAGGCTTCAGCTGTGTCTTTCTTTTTTTGTTTTCTACAATAGGAGTTCCAGATTCTATGTGACTGACTCTGGAGTCTTAACTGTAGATGCTGCTGTTATTTATCAATAACAATAATAAGTAATAATCGTCATCTATTGAATATATAGTTTATACCCAGCACTTGTACTAAGAAGTCCTTATAAGAATTCTCAGATAGGCATCATTTTATCATCTTATTAATTAATTAACATATATATATATATTTTGAGATGGAGTCTTGCTCTCTGGCCCAGGCTGGAGTGCAGTGGCATGATCTCGGCTCACTGCAAACTCTGCCTCCCAGGTTCAAGCGACTTTCCTGTCTTAGCCTCCTGAGTAGCTGGGATTACAGGCGCATGCCACCATGCCTGGCTAATTTTTGTATTTTTGATAGAGACGGGGTTTCACCATGTTGGTCAGGCTGGTCTCAAACTCCTGACTTCGTGATCCACCCACCTTGGCCTCCCAAAGTGCTGGGATTGCAGACGTGAGCCACCGCGCCCAGCCTATCATCTTATTTTTAAAAACAGCTTCATCAGGCTATGATTTATCTCATACAATACACGCCTGGCCTATTTTACTTAATATAATGTTTCTGAGGTTTAACCATGATACTGCATGTGTCTACAGTTTCTTGGAAGTTATTGGAAGCTGAATGGTTTTCCATTATATGGTTTGCTTATCCATTTACCAGTTGATGGACATCTGCATTGTTTTCAATTTGGGGCTATTCTGAACAATGCTGCTATGAACATTTATGTCCATGTCTCTGTGGGGACAGATTGTTTTCATTTCCGTTGGGTAGACTCCTGGGAGTGCAATTGCTGGGCCATGTAAGTTTAGGTTTTTAGCTTTTTAATAAACTGCCAAATCACGTTCCACACTGGCTGTTCCAGTCTGCATTTCCACCAACAACAATTGAGAGTTCCAGTTTCCTCACATCTTCACCAGCACTTGGTATTGTTAGCCTTTCTGATTCTAGTTACTCTGATTGATGATGCTGAGCATCTTTTCATGTGCTTATTAGCCATTATGTATCTCTTTTGGTAAAATGTCTAGTCAAAGCATTTCCCTATCTTAAATTTGGGCTATCGTCTTATTAAGTTGTAAGCATATTTTATTTATCCTAAAAACAAGTCCTTTAATGGGACTTCAATATGATTTGCATATATTTTCTCTCAGCTGGTAGCTTATTTTCCTTTTTTTTTTTTTTTTTTTAAGTGATCTCGGCTCACTGCAACCTCCACCTCCCGGTTTCAAGCAATTCTCCTGCCTCGGCCTCTTGAGTGGCTGGGATTACAGGCATGCACCATCACGCCCGGCTAATTTTGTATTTTTAGTAGATATGGGGTTTTACCATGTTGGCCAGGCTGGTCTCAAACTCCAAACCTCAGGTGATCCACCAACCTCGGCCTCCCAAAGTGCTGGGATTACAGGCGTGAGCCACCACACCTGGTCTTATTTTCCACTTCTTAATGGTATTTAAAAAAATTTTTTTTGGCCGGGCATAGCAGCTCACGCCTGTAATCCCAGCACTTTGGGAGGCCAAGGCGGGCAGATCACCATGTCAGGAGTTCAAGACCAGCCTGGCAAAGATGGTGAAACCCCATCTCTACTAAAAATACAAAAATTATCCGGGCATGGTGGCGCATGCCTATAGTCCCAGCTACTCAGGGAGGCTGAGGCAGGAGAATCGCTTGAACCCAGGAGGTGGAGCTTGCAGTGAGCCAAGATCGCACCACTGCACTCCAACCTGGCGACAGAGAGAGACTGTTTCCAAAAAAAAAAAAAAAAAGCACTATTAATGATATTTCCAAATAAAAGTTACATGTGACACAGAATTAGACTGTAACACTCTGAATTCATTTTATTCTCAAAAAGGTTGATAATGTAGCCGCCTAAAGGAATCCACGACTTTGCAACACAGAGGAATGTACATACTTTCTTCTGGATCTTCACCAGCAAGGATGCTGCTGGAAAGTTCCTGGACAGCAGCTCGTGACTCAGGTGTAGAGCGATGAGGCCCTAGATGACTGTCCCTCTGGGCTTCCCATTCCTCACTGAAGCCGCCATCATCATTCTCTGCAACCGTGTCTTGTGACTCCCTTTCTGTGCCTTCAAGAGAAAGTGAAAGTTACAGCTCTAATATTTAGAAAAGTTTAATACCTTTACGAAAATTACACGGAACCAGTAACTAGCTAACTGTCATTGTAACTAGCCGGCCCTTAAACCACAAAGCATGGGCTGTAGCAGTGCCTGCTGGTAGTTTATCCAATAGCTATTTTCTCCCTTATTTCTTGAGGGCAGAATCCTGAATTGTTTGGGTTCCCATCCCTCTCCCACATGACTCTGGTGGTAAATCCTGATCAATCCAAGCCAAGCATGGTAATCCCACCAAGCCTCTTCCTAACAAAAGCTCTAAGGCTGTGGGGTTATAACTTGGTATGAACCTATGAGTGGTGAAGCAAAGTCCGCTGGGATTCCTGGGGAAATTTTTCTCACTCTTTAAGAGACTAAAGGAAAAAATAAACAGTCCCTTCTATGCCTAAATGTTGCCTTATCTAGATATGAAGCCTAGAACTACAGCTGTCATGACCACCAGGAGCAGTGGGCTGAAGACCAAGCCTATACACTAGTGATGGTAGAGTAGGAAGTTGGGCTACTTGAAAACCTCCCTGAGCCACCAAATTAACCAACCTTACAAATTTCAAATGCCTACACCTCAGGCCTTCCTGTCATGTGAAGAATACATTTCTTCTTTGCTTAAGGCAACTGAGTTGGGCTTTTTATCTTTGCAACTGAAAGCTTCCTAACTGTTGGCACTCATCCCTGGATTTGGTGACAAAGTTATAAAAGTGGCTTCATTCTGGAGGGTGGATTGGGAAAGGAGGGGGAGTGAATGTCTTTATGGGCCAGTCATTTCATTATAATGACTATCAATCTCATTGAAAATGGTGAGCACGATAGTCTTAAAAAAACTTCCATACATTAAAAATAATTAAAATATTTAAGTGAAGTTCAAAGTACTTTTATTCTTCCTTCATTTTTTATAAAAGTAATACACGTTCAGAACAGAAGTAGATTTGCCATGAATAAGTACAGCTTGTGAGCTTCAGGGCCCTTCCTTGCATGGCTTCCTCTGGGAGAGCCCTCACAATTTTGTATTGGTAGTTTTGTATTCTTTTTATTATCCAGGTCTCCAAAACACCTGAGTCTTCTCTGGTTTGGAGTTGATGAAATAATGTAAGAAAAAGATTTATAAATGAAAACAGCAGTCCCTTTTCTGCCCCCTCCCTCCTCACTTCTGATACTCATTCCTACTTTAAACTCTTTTAGCCATTCCTTTTGGTATTTACCTCCATAATTAATTATAAGTAGTATGCTCATTGTGCCATAACTTGATGTTTTAATTTGGGGTACTTATTCGCCTCCTATAGAGAAGATAAAGCATTAGGTCTCATCCTCTTCTGCACGTAAATGTAACTCTTCCCGTCTTCCCAGTGCCATAACCTTGTATTAAATTCAGTTTTATATTCTCACTATGCAAATAATATTCACAACTAAACTACTTTGCTACAGCCAGAATATACTATAATTACATTTGCTTTTTTGAACAAGTTTTTGTTTTCCTTGGAAAACTGCCTCATTTTTTTCCATTGATGAATTTTATATTATTATCTATGACTAATTTATCCTGAAATGCTCTGACAGAGTTCAACCACATCAGGTAATCTCTCAGTTCGTTTTTTTGTTTGTTTTTTCCTTGCACAGATATCCCTCTCGGAGCCCTACGCCCTTTTGTTCCAATGTAACTTCTAGTTCCGTTAACACAGTGATTTAACTAGGGATAGCACCTCCCTTCTGGGGAGTGTTTGGAAATAACTAGGATGGAGGAGTTTTTGATTACCGCAAAGCCTCAAAGCCATTATTGGTATTTAGTGGGTGAGCGGCCAGGGATGTTAAATATCTTGTAATGTGAGGGGAAGTCCCACACAATGAAGAACTGTGCCCCCCAAAATATCAGCAGCACTCTCACTGAGGAAGCCTGCAGTTCCATCCAGCCTTCCCATTTCAAAGCCCTTGCTCATGCTGTCCCTCTCTTGGAAAGCTCTTCCTCCATCCTTCAGCAAGCCATCACCTATTATCACTTCCTCAGGGAAGCACCCCTTGACTTTCCAGGATACGTAAAATTCCACTATTATAAACTTTCACAGCAACTTATACGTCTTCTTTGCAGTACCTATCACAACTGTATGAATTATTTATGTAATAATTTGTTGACCATCTATCTCCCCAGATAGACTATAAGCTCCACAAGGGCAGGGGAAATCTTATTTAGTGCTATATCCGGAGGGCCTAGCACATAGTCAGGTGCTCAGTCAACATCTGTAAAAGGAATGAAATTCTGTTGTATCACTCACTCACTCATACGTACATATATACCTACATGCTCACAACCATTAGATTTTCTTTAGCTTAACACAGGTTAACTCTGTAGATTTCCTGGCTTTATAAAACATAAACTTTCCCTTTCCTGACAAACAGCACCTCAATTAAGGCCTTTTTTCCCTCACCAATATTTATTTTGCCTGTTGTTTTTCAGATTCCTCATAAAAGTTAGCCCTTTTTTGTTTTTCTTTCAAAAAGTAAGCTTTTTTTTTTAACTGTTTATATTGTGCTATTATTCCTCAATCCTTTTTTATCCTTTTTTTTTTTTAGTGTGTGGGAAGGTAGCCTCCATTCCAGAAAATTGAATTAAAGCTCCCCCTCAACTCCATCTAATAACAACTTCTAACTTGTGTTCTCCTTAATATGTTCTGTAGTATCCTTAAAGGACTTTTCACTCTCATCCTAAGTCATTATTATTATTCATTATTATTATTATTTTTGAGGCAAGATCTCACTAAGTTGCCCAGGGTAATCTGGAACTCCTTGGCTCAAGTGATCCTCTTGCCTTGGCCATGTAGCTGGGACTACAGGCTTACATAACAGGATCCAGCTCATCCCAAGTCATTCTTAACCCAGCTCATCCTAAGTCATTCTTATCCTCTTCTAAAAAGTCATATCCACCTAGAATATTTGATCTTCTCAGTATAAACATTAGCACATCTCAAATCGTATTTCAGTTACTCTGGCCATGTTAGACAAGAAGTTCCTATTGTTATGTTGTTTATATTTTGCTTTTTTTGTTTACTTATATTTCCTTTATTGTCTGTATCTTTTAGGAGGTTCTTACTTTTACATGTTTGGACAAAGTTTTTTTTTCTTTTTAAAATCATGACTTCTAAAAAACAAACAAAAAACAAAAACAAAATCATAACCTCAACCTGAACCTTTCCATACTGGTATTCTGTATTTAATGGGAGGTGTCTTAACCTAGGGGTGCCTTGACTGTATTGTTGGGTTATGAGTATATGAACTCCTTAAATATTTATCTGTGTATTTACTGGGCATTACTATAGTTTTCAAGAGATTCTCAAAGGAGTCTATGATCAAAGAAAGATAATGAAAACATTGCTATACTGTTAGCTTATAAGATAACAGTGACCCTGAAAAACCAAGATATTATCTAATAAAAGTTACCTACTTTCTGCATTATACTTGGAATTTTTGGATACTCTCCTTTGAGCTTCCGGGTCTCCTTCTGCCATATTCACCAACCACACCATTGTTGCTGTTGAGAAAGACAAAATTCCAGGTAAGCACTGGATACACAAAGTATGCACAGACAACACACAGGCCATCATTTCTCCACACAAATCGCCAATCTTCCTAATGCTGCCTTAAGACTGTTCAACAATCAGAAGTAAAAATAATAAAAGGTTCTCTTTGGTTTTAGCAGATAAGAGAAAAAGTTCTGAAACTGAATGTTTACTGTAGTGCTCAAACTGCACCTGCTATCACAAAACTCTTCATCATCATTTTTAGTCCGTGAAAAGTAACCAGAAGGAAAACTGTTCAGGCCAGCAAGATTCCACTGAAACAATAGCTGGACTAGTCGAATGTTCTAAATTCCAGGACAAACTGGAGCTCACAAAAGCCTCAGATGGTGATTATAATTCAAAAGATGCACAGAGTAAATTTCCTTCATAATATGTCTCACTTTTAGAACGTTCAATGATGCTAAACCATGTTTTAAACTTGAAGTGAGAAAAAACGTTAAAAGCAATAAACATAATAGGGATAGTCAAGTGGCCTCCTCTGTGACCCTTCTACAAAAACACATGTATATCAATATATCAATCTAGATCTAGATATACACATGTGCATCTCTACCACATATTAGTTCAGAGACAACGTGAAAACTTTAAAATGGTGCTTCTCTATTTCAGGCAGGAATGAAAAATAGTATAATCCCCATTGGTGGGAAATTTGGTAACATCTAATAAAACTACATGTCCATTAACCCTTTAACCCAGCAATACTACATTTTGGAACTTATCCTGAAGATACATCAACAATAACACTAAAGTACATATAAACAAACACATGACATATGGGGCTATGGTGGGAACCAAATGCCAGCAACAAGCTGAGTCCAATCTGGTCACAGTAATTTTAAACAAGATACTTAGCATTTATGTCTCTCTGGCTTTTTATCACTATAATTTTATCCATGTTTCTAATACTTAGGCTTCTTGAAGAACTTATGAAAGAAATACACAAAGAAGCTGAACGACCGCCTTGTTATTTCTGAGGTCAACCAAGTTTCATTACAGGATAACACAACCAAATGATCAAAAGTTAACAGAAACCAGGCAGGCAATACACTGTTTAACGAAATCCAGATCTAAAGAAGAAAAACTGAAGGGCAACCACCAAGTATGAGGTTTATGGATTAGTTTTTATTTTTTCTAAAAACAGGGTCTCACTGTGTTGCCCAGGCTGGACTCAAACTCCTGGGCTCAAGCAATCCTCCTGCCTCAGCCTCCCAAAATGCTAGGATTACAGGCATGAGCCACTGCACCCAGCCTGTTTATGGATTTCTATAGCCTTTTGGAAATGAAGGCACCAGCAATTTACTAGGTTTTCATTCTTTATATAAGTATGAAAAAATATAGCTACGAGCCCCTTTGTTTTAAGGGCTAATAGTATCATGAAAATCAATGGCCAGCTAACTTTTTCTGTAAATGGCCAGGGAGTAAACATTTCAGGTTTTGTGCATCACATATTCTTCCTTTTTCATTTTTTTTTTTAAATGTAAAAAGCATTTTTAGCTTATAAGCTGTACAGAAAACAGGCAATGGGCCACATTTGGCTTCAAGCAATAGTTTGCTAATCCCATGTTAATTATCATAAATAGTACATTTGTTAAATAGTCCTAAAATAATATTTTTTAAAAATCACTTTTCCTTTCACCTTAACACCAAATACCTTAGATCAATAGGAAAATAAGCAGATTTCTTGTTTAAATTAAAAAAAAAAAAAAAAAGGCCTGGCACGGTGGCTCATACCTGTAATTCCAGCACTTTGGGAGTCTGAGGTGGGTGGATCACCTGAGGTCAGGAGTTCAAGACCAGCCTGACCAACATGGAGAAACCCTGTCTTTACTAAAAATACAAAATTAGCCCGGTGTGGTGGTACATGTCTGTAATCCCAGCAATTTGGGAGGCTGAGACAGGAGAATTGCTTGAATCCGGGAGGCGGAGGCTGTGGTGAGCCGAGATCGCGCCATTGCACTCCAGCCTGGGCAATGAGAGCAAAACACTCTGTCTCAAAAAAAAAAAGAAAAGAAAAGAAAAAAAAATTTCTTAATGTAGCCTAGGCTGGTCTTGAACTCCTGGGCTCAAGCAATCCTCCTGCCTCTACCTCCCAAAGTCCTGGGATTACAGTCACACCCAGCTGGAAAATATGCAGATTTAAAAATTAACATAATATACCCTCCTCCAACTGATATGAAATCAAAAAGCTTTAGGTAAAATGATCTACCTCAAGGAATTGTTAAGTTTCCCTTCTAGTTAAGCTCTCAGAGTGAACCACTTCTACTAATGACCACTAGGTAAGAATAAACTGGCTCAAAAAGTAGGTGTATAATTTTTCTGTCAAAAGACAGAAGTAAAAAACAAAAATGCTCATACATTTCCTGTCAGTAAGAGCATTTTGCAAACTGAATACCCTAAACTGGGAGACAGTATTAAAATGCATAAAAGAATTATATTCATTGATTTTTAGAGAACAAATAGCCAGGATGACTGATTTAAAACTTTTTATATTCATGCTTATATTCACTTCAGGGAAAAAGTACTCATTGGCATTGCTGCTTTTTACAGTTAAAAAACAGAATGTAAGAAAAAAATGTAAGAAAAATGTAAGAAAAAATTCTTACATTCTGTTAAAAAAACAAAATAAAGGCCGGGTGCGGTGGCTCATGCCTGTAATCCCAGCACTTTGGGAGGCTGAGGCAGGTGGATAACCTGAGGTCCTGAGTTCGAGACCAGCCTGGTCAACATGGTGAAACCCCATCTCTACTAAAAATACAAAAAATTAGCCGGGCTTGGTGGCAGGCGTCTGTAATCCCAGATACTCAGGAGGCTGAGGAAGGAGAATCTCTTGAACCCAGGAGGCGGAGGTTGCAGTGAGCCGAGATTGCGCCATTGCACTTCAGCCTGGGCAACAAGAGCGAAACTCCATCTCAAAAACAAAAAAAACAAAACCTCTCAAACTCAATGATTTATAAAATCCTCAAATCTTCACCAGACATTTATTATTGCAAAAGAACAGATGCAATCTTCAACCTACCTGATCTACACAGGAGGTAAGGGTTTATACTCCTATTTTCCCACGTATGTTGAACTGTTTCTAAAATATTTCAGAATGTCTTATGTTCTGTGGTCATTAAATAGACTTGAGAGCTTTTTAAAAAACACATGCTAATCATCTCTGTATCATTCCAATTTTAGTATTATGTGCTGCTAAAGCGAGCACAGATGTGAGTTTTAAAAATATTATATAAGATAGATATTTTAAAACACAGTAAATACTTCTGAGTATTAAATTAACATACATGTTTAATGTTACGGCAGACTGAAAGTCTGGTAATAATTCCTCACCCATCCCTGTACTCATACTCTTGACATGGACTCACTTTTAGTAGAATGTATTTTCCCTTCTCCCAACCTGTGGCTCAACTAAAAATATGGAAAAAAAATTAGCCAGGCATAGTGGCACATGCTCGTAATCTCAACTACTCGGGAGGCTGAGGCAGGAGAATTGCCTGAACCCAGGAGATGGAGGTTACAGTGAACCGAGACTGCACCACTGCACTCCGGCCTGGGCGACAGAGCAAGACTCACCTCAAAAATAAAATAAAACAGGTTGGGTGCAGTGGCTCATGTCTGTAATCCCAGCACTTTGGGAGGCCGAGGCGGGTGGATCACTTGAGGTGGGGAGTTCCAGGCCAGCCCGGCCAATCTGGCGAAACCTCATCTCTACTAAAAATACAAACATTAGACGGATATGGAGGTGGGTGCTTATAACCCCAGCTACTCGGGAGGCTGAGACAGGACAATTGCTTGAACCCAGGAGGCGGGGGTTGCAGTGAGCCAAGATCATGCCACTGCACTCCAGCCCGAGCAACAGAGCAAAAGACTCTGTTTCCAAAAAACAAAAAAAAACAAAAAAAAACAGCCCAGGTGCAGTGGCTCATGCCTGTAATCCCAGTACTTTGGAAGGCCGAGGAGGGTGGATCATGAGATCAGGAGATCGAGACCATCCTGACTAACACGGTGAAACCCCGTCTCTACTAAAAGTACAAAAAATTAGCCGGGCACGGTGGCGGGCGCCTGTAGTCCCAGCTACATGGGAGGCTGAGGCAGGAGAATGGTGTGAACCGGGGAGGCAGAGCTTGCAGTGAGCCGAGACTGGGCCACTATACTCCAGCCTGGGCGACAGAGCGAGACTCCGTCTCAACAACAACAACAACAAAAAATAGAATCTTCCCTCTCCTTGAAACACCTTTCCTGAAACCTGTTCTCCTATCAGGTCACCACCTGCTCTGCCTACAAGACAGGAATCTTTGATGTAGTGCATGACATTTACTATACCTCTCCTTCTTCACCACCCATTCTCTGCCCTACACTATCACTTCCACTGCCAGCACTGGCAAACCCCTGATACATGCATGCACACATATGCACTTTCCCTTTGGAGTATTGCTTCTGGTTCTATCACTCTACTGAAACTGCTCTCTTCAATGTCACTAATGACATCTTAGGGAGCAAATACTGTATGGTTTACAGTCCTCATTACCTTTGACTTCTTTATAACATTTGATATTCTCTTTTTTTGGGGGGGGGGGGTTGAAGCCTTGCTCTGTCACCCAGGCTGGAATGCAGTGGCACAATCATGGCTCACTGTAACCTCCGCCTCCTGGGTTCAAGTGATCTTCCCACCTCAGCCTCCCAAGTAACTGGGATTACAAGCGTGCACCACTACACCCAGCTGATTTTTATATTTTTAGCAAAGACAGGGTTTCACCATGTTGGCCAGGCTGGTCTCGAATTCCTGATCTCAAGTGATCCGCCCACCTAGACCTCCCAAAGTGCTGGGATTACAAACGTGAGCCACCATGCCCAGCCTCTCTCCTTGAAATTGTTTTTCCAGTTACTCAACAGAAAAATTGGCAAAAAACATCTACAAGGATATACATCAAACTGATAACAGGGGTAAGTACTTGATAAGGCATTAAGATTAGAGATGATAGTTACCGTGAAATTTATTTTTATCTGTAATTTTTATCCTTTTTCAAGGATAATGTATTACTTGTATAATTAAGATTAATTTTACAGGGCTGGGAGCAGTGGCTCACGCCTGTAATCCTAATGCTTTGGGAGGCCGAGGCAGTTGGATCGCTTGAGACCAGGCTGGCCAACATGGTGAAATCCCATCTCTACTAAAAATACAAAAATTTGCCAGGCATGGTGGCATGTGCCTGTAATTCCAGCTACTTGAGAGGGTGAGGGAGGAGAATTGCTTGAACCTGGGAGACAGGTTGCAGTGAGTTGAGATTGCGCCACTGTACTCCAGCCTGGCTGACAGGGAGAGACTCTGTCTCACAGAAAAAAAAAAAAAAAAGATTAATTTCACAAATATGAAAAAGATTATACCAAGCCCGTTACAAAATAAATTCAGATCTGTAGCTAAGAAACACATGAAAAAAAAGTTCAAATAATCACCCAAGCATTAGACAAACAATAAAAAATAAAACAAGATTTTTTTTTTGCCTGTTAGATCTCTCTCTCAGACATACATACGTGCATGTATGCACAGACACAGGCAAGGATTAACAAAGGGGTGGCCAGGCATGGTGGCTCACACCTGTAATCCTAGCATTTTGGGAGGCCTAGACGGGCGGATCACCTCAAGTCAGGAGTTTGAGACCCAGCCTGGTCAACATGGTGAAACCGTGTTTCTACTAAAAATACAAAAAATTAGCTGGGCATGGTGGCACACGCCCGTAATCCCAGCCACTCCAGAGGCTGAGGCAGGACAACTGCTTGAACCCGGGAGACGGAGGTTGCAATGAGCTGAGATCACGCCACTGCACTCCAGCCTGCGTGACATAGCGAGACTCAGTCTCCAAAACAAAACACCAAAGGTGTAAGGAAACTGGTACTTTCGTTTACTGAAGGGAATGTAAACTGGCATAGCTTTTTTATGAGGTAATATGGCAAACTATCAAAATTTAAATACACACATCCTTTGACTTAGCAACTCTAAGAATACATCTTATAATAATATTCGTAAGTTCATCGATGCCCTCTGTAAGTGCTGCCTGTGATAGAAAATAAATTGAAATTATCTAAACGTCCATCAATGAGGATACCCACCACTGAATATCTACATAAGAGAATACTATGCAGCCATTTCATGTGCTGACATCAAAAAACAGTCATGATACTGTAAAGTGAAAAATACTGGCTTGCCCAATTTTCCAATATTTTCTTCTACTTCCTGTAGTATCCTCTCGTTTCATTCTCTAAACATAGTAGTTGACAAAGTTTGACCCTTGTCTTCCTCTTCTCTTCTGCTTTTATTTGAATGGCTCGACAGTTCACAGAGCTTAACTATCACCTCTCTGCTAATGTTCTTCAAGTCTCTATCTCGAATATCAACTTTTTCCCAAGCTCTAGTACTTCATTTCTAAACTTCTGCTAGCAATGTCTACCTCAGTGACCCACAGGTACTGTCAACTAAATTAGATATGAGCCACAGAAAGATCTAAAACTAAACAGATTCCTCACACAAGAAAACATGGCCAGGCATGGTGGCTCATACTTGTAACCCAAGCACTTCGGGAGGTCAAGGCAGGAGGATCGCTTAAGCCCAGGAGTTCAAGACCAGCCTGGGCAACATGGCAAAACCCTGTCTCTACATAAAATACAAAAAAATTAGCCAGGCGTGGTAGTGTGTGCCTGTAGTCACAGCTACTTGGGAGCCTGAGGTGGGTGGATAACCTGAGCCTGGGAGGTCAAGGCTGCAGTGAGCCGTGATCACACCACTGTACTCCAGCCTGGGTGGGAGTGAGACCCTGTCTCAACAACAGCAACAAGAAAACACAGGAAAGCATTTTTTCTTCATCACCTTTCCTTCAAGCTTACAACTTCTCTCCTCAGTTGCTAGAACTATTGATTCTACCTCTGAATCCTCTCATCAACTCTTTCCCTTGATTGCTACTGCCACTACCATAATTCAAACCCCATTAATTTCCACCTAGATCATGGCAACATCATCTTAATTATGCCTAGTATGCTTCTCATGATCTCAGTGTCCACCCAACAATTCATCTCACACAGTGCTGCCAGCTTACGAAGGCACAGCTCTGCTCACATTACCCTTCCGCTCAACAATCTCCGTTCCCCAGTGATCACTGAATAGCAGACAGACATCTAAACCAGTCACTCAAAGGAAACCTTGAGCTTGCGCCCTAATCAATAACTCCTAACAGGTTTTAAAATGGGAATGCTGGTTCCCCAACATCTAAATATTTCCTTTCTTTCTATTCATATTGCAAACTCTCTTGAATCAACATCAGGTAGAAGACAATCATCTGCAAGGAAAGAAAGAGATCTGCAGGAGTTTCAGGAATGCTGTGCATTTAAGATGAGAACAAGTACCATGAAAACGACCACAGTTACATGTGCTTCAGTTCCAATAAATTCTACGCTGATTACTACTTCAATATCATTCTCAAATACTTACAGGAGTAAATGAGAGCTGGAAAAAGTGTTTCATTTCTCTCCTGAGCTGTCTCAACCAGCATACGAAGTGGACCTTTCGGACACAAAACAGCCACTAAATCTAGAAAAAGAAAAACAGAAAAGACATCTGATAAAATGTATGGGCTAAACTTGTAAATGGGTGTTAGGGAGGAATTAACGAAGGGAAAAGGTTTAATGTTTTTTGTCTCTTTTTACACAAAAAGATGTTGAATGAATATGAAATAAATAGCAGGTGAACTGGTGGGGATGGGGGGACAACCTAAACAATATAAAACCACACAGAACATCTGTAAAAATTTCATTTGGGTTTGACTGCTATTTGCTTAGTGTACAGTGTATCGTTACTGGGGTATAGGAATAAGTCTTCCCAGTTTAAAGGAAAGCTGCAGAGATGATGATGAGATAGACTATTTTAAGCAGTTGTCAACCTACAGTGATCAGAATCAGGGAGAAGTCACTTCTAAACTAATCACAGATATGCACTATAAATAAAAAGATTACTCCGAGATGAATTTAATACAGGGGATTTGACTGAACTTTTCAAAATATGAAGAGCAGAGTAGAAGAAATTCATCTCTTCTTCTTTTTAAAAGCAGTATTATGTACTACTGAGAAATACCTGAAATAAGAGGGCAGTAATTTAAAACAAAATGGTAACTCTCTGCAAGATAAAGTTTATTACTTCTTTACTCTTTGGTCACATTAAATATTCAGGTCTCAGAACATATGTGGTGCTGAAAAGTAGCTTATTTTACAAAAATAATAAATCAGAGGAAACAATATGCCTAAGTTATTCCTGTTTATACCACCATTTCTTTCCATCAACTGCAATTTTCCTTTCATTTTCTGTCATGAAAATTCAGAATATAGGCTGGGCACAGTGGCTCACGCCTGTAATCCCAGCACTTTGGGAGGCCAAGGTGGGCGGATCATGAGGTCAGGAGATCGAGACCAACCTGGCTAACACAGTGAAACCCCGTCTCTACTAAAAATACAAAAAAATTAGCCGGGCGTGGTGGCGGGCGCCTGTAGTCCCAGCTACTCGGGAGGCTGAAGCAGGAGAATAGTGTGAACCCAGGAGGCGGAGCTTGCAGTGAGCCAAGATCATGCCACTGCACTCCAGCCTGGGCAATACAGCAAGATTCCATCTCAAAAAAAAAAAAAAACCTCAGAATATAAAAATATAGAAATAATTTTAAACACTTAAAAATATAAAACAGGTATAGCTAAACTTGTAAAGGAAGAATTGACAGCTTGTGTTGACATTATTGTCACTTAGATGCATTTAAATTTAAAAATTTCATGTCTTGCCAGGCACAGTGGCTTATGCTTGTAATTCCAGCACTTTGGGGAGGCTGAGGCAGATTACTTGTGCTCAGGAGTTTGAGATCAGCCTGGCCAAAATGGAAAAACCCCATCTCTACCAAAAATACAAAAAAATAGCAGCTCACGGTGGCAGGTGCCTACAGTCTCAGCTACTCAGGAAGCTGAGGTGGGAGGATTGCCTGAGCCCTGGAGGTGGAGGTTGCAGTTAGCCAAGATGGCGCCACTGCACTCCAGCCTAGGTGACAGAGTAAGACCCTGTCTCAAAAAAAAAAAAAAAATTCATGCCTCGAAGTGGTCATGTCTCTTTGTATAATAATATATATATGTACAATATAATATAGTATACAGAGGACCATAAGATAGTACAATAATAAAACACACACACACAGAAATCTCTACTCTCACCACTTCTACTTCAATTTGTTTGCATGAGAAGTCTGCCCTGCTCTAAAGTAATGAGATTTTCAACTTGTTTGACTCTGCCACATTCCGCAACTATTTCAGTTTTATTCTTTACTCTCCCTTAAAGAATTGCTAAATGATAAATCTGTTTATTTTTGCTTTGTTTTGAGACAGAGTTTCACTCTTGTTCCCCAGGCTGGAGTGCAGTGGCATGATCTCGGCTCACCGCAACCTCCACCTCCTGGGTTCAAGCGATTCTCCTGCCTCAGCCTCCCGAGTAGCTGGGATTACAGGCATGAGCCACCAAGCCCGGCTAATTTTGTATTTTTAGTAGAGACGGGGTTTCTCCATGTTGGTCAGGCTGGTCTCGAACTCCTAACCTCAGGTGATCCGCCCTCCTCGGCCTCCCAAAGTGCTGGGATTACAGGCCTGAGCCACCGCGCCCGGCCAAATCTGCTTATTTTTTAGAGTAATTAAATTAAAATTGCTTTTGCTTTGAAAATTTCAGAACTTTTCTGACAAATTAAATCTTGAAACATTGTAAAAATGGAGCCGAGAATCACTACTCTAAACATTGGGTACAAAAATCTCTTTTGTTTAAAAGGAACTCAAAGCTCTGTAGAGATACTCATTTGTATGATGTGCAGACAGAATGGAGGGCTGATGGTAAAAATATTGTAATACAGTGAAAAGAATATTGGACTTGGGATTCAGATTCGAGATCAGAGTTTAAGCTTGGGCAAATAATTTACCTCTGTAAACTTCAAGTTTCTTAGCAGTAAAACAGGGATAATAACTACCTTGATATTTCATAGGATTATATAAAAATGTAACACTGGGTTGGGTACAGTGGCTCACGCCTCAGCACTTTGGGAGGCTGCTTGAGGCCAGGAGGTCAACACCAACCTGTGCCTGTAGTCTTATCTACTCGGGAGGCTGAGACAGGAGGACTGCTTGAGCCCAGGCTTCTGAAGCTACAGTGAGCTATAATCGTGCCACTTCACTTCAGCCTGGGAGACACAGTGAGATCCTGTTTCTTAAAACAGAAAAAATTTACTGATAGACACTGTTCTAAGTGTATTATTGTATTAAATAGATCATTTAATTTAATCTTCATAACTGACTTAGGAGTTGAGTAACTTGTGTGGTCAAATAGCTAGCAAGTGATGACTAGCCCAGGCGCAGTGGTTACATCTGTAATCCCAGCACTTTGCGAGGCTGAGGCGGGCAGATCATTTGAGGTCAGGAGTTTGAGACCAGCCTGGCCAACATGGCAAAACCCCGTCTCTACTAAAAATACAAAAATTAGCTGGGCGTGGTGGTGCACACCTGTAGTCCTAGCTACTCGGGAGGCCGAGGCAGGAGAATCACTTGACCCTGGGAGGCAGAGGTTGTAGTGAGCTGAGATCACACCACTGCACTCCAACCTGGGTGATAAGTGAGACTCCATCTCAAAAAAAAAGTGATGAACCCAGACATTCTGTCTCCAGACCCGGCATTCTTACTCACAGCTAAGCAAGAACAGATGGTTACTTTGCAAACCATCAAGTACTATACAACATTAGGTAATTATGAAAGTCAGAGAGAGTATATGACTTCTATAGTTCCACAACTGATTACTCAAATACAAGAACAGAACCAGTTCAATCCTATTTCCACAGACTTCTTCGTCAATCAAACAAGGATGATGTTTCCTATTACAGGCCACCAAACATTTTAGTAAGTATGTAAATAGTGATAAAAGTGTATGGCCAGGCCAGGCATGGTGGCTCACGCCTATAATCCCAACACTTTGGGAGGCCGAGGCAGGTGAATCATGAGGTCAGGAGATCGAGACCCATTCTGGCTAACATAGTGAAACCCTGTCTCCATTAAAAATACAAAAAAATTAGCCAGGCGTGGTTGCAGGCACGGTTGCAGGCGCCTGTAGTCCCAGCTACTCGGAAGGCTGAGGCAGAAGAATGGCATGAACCTGGGAGGTGGAGCTTGCAGTGAGCCGAGTTTGCGCCACTGCACTCCAGCCTGGGCGCAACAGAGCCAGACTCCGTCTCAAAAAAAAAAAAAAAATGTATGGCCAGGTATGGTGGCTCATGCTTGTAATCCCAACACTTTGGAAGGCTGAGATGGGAGGATCCCTTGAGGCCAGGAGTTTCAGACAAGCCTGGGAAACACAGTAAGATCTCATCTTCGGAAAAAAAATTTTTTTTTTTTTTTTTTAAAATTAGGCATGGTAGTGCATGCCTGTAGTTCTATCTACTTTGGAGGCTGAGGTGGGAGGATTGTCTGAGCCCAGGACAGGAGTTTGAGGCTGCAGTAAGCCATGATCATGCCACTGTACTCTAGCGTGGATAACAGAGAGGGATTCTATCTCTAGAAGAAAAAAACAAAAAGAAAAAAAAGAGTATGGCCATGGCCTTATAAGATAGAAGGGGTCACATATTAATCTCTGAAAATGCATCTCTTTTTGGCTTTCAAACAGGGCAATAGCCCCAGAGTACGTACCTGAAAGCTGCCTGGGTTAATGGTTAGAGTATGTTCTAACTGTTCAGGACCCATGTCACACTGGTGGTAGAATGTGTATCTCACACTGTCCAAATTGGTTTTATTTTTAAAAGAATAATTCCATACATTACCTTATAAAAGTAGGTAACCTAATTTTGATTTTAAGTGAATTGAGGCCAGATGCAATGGCTCACTCCTATAATCCCAATACCTTGAGAAGCCAAAGCAGGAGGATTGCTTGAGCCCAAGAGTTCAAGACCAGCCTAGGCAATATAGTGAGACCTTCTCTCTACAAAAAATAAAAAAGTTAGTCAGGCATGGTGGTGCACACCTGTAGTCCTAGCTACTTGAGAGGCTGAAGTGGGAGGATTGCAAGAGCCCGGGAGTTCAAGGTTGCAGTGAGCTATGATTGCACCACTGCACCCCAGCCTAGGTGACACAGCAAGACTTTGTCTCAAAAAAAAAAAAAAAAGAAAAAAGCTTATGCAGTATCATATAAAGGAAAAAAACATTTAAAAAATGAATTGAGCGTTTTGTGTGTCTACCACTCTGTGTTTTTTGGTTTTTTTTTTTTTTTTTTGCTTTTTTTTTGAGACAGTCCTGCTCTGTCACCCAGGCTAGAGTGCAGTGGCACCATATCGGCTCACTGCAACCTCCTCCTCCTGGGTTCAAGCAATTCTCCTGCCTCAACCCCCCAAGTTGCTGGGATTACAGGGGAACGCCACCACCACACCCAGCTAATTTTTGTATTTTTAGTAGAGACAGGGTTTCACCAGCTTGTCAAAACCTCAAAATCTTTAAAAAAAAAAAAAATTTTTTTTGAGACAAGGTCTTGTTCTGTCACTCAGGCTGGAATGCAGTGATGCAATCATGGCTCACTGCAGCCTAGACCTCCTGGGCTCAATCGATCCTCCCACCTCAGCCTCCTAAGTAGCTGGGACTACAGGTGTGCACCACCAAGCCTGGCTAATTTTTGTATTTTCTGTAGATACGAGGTTTTGCCATGTTGCCCAGGCTGGTCTTGAACTCTGGGCTTAGGTGATCTGCCCGCCTCGGCCTCCCAAAGTACTGAGATTACAGGCATGAGCTACCATGCCCCGCTGAAATCTTCAAATGAAAAAGTTATTATAGCGAATTAATGATTTACTGAAGAGCTATGGGATATACATTTTACCATTTTCTCTAAATCAAGATGAAGAGACAAGGAAAGAAAACACTCCAGTGGGGCATTCCTGTGACAAACAAATTATCAGTCTTGGGCTTTACCATATACTGAAATCACAGCCAAGATGAGCCACGCAGTCCATTCAGGCAGGTACTTGATAAACACCAGGGCCATGAGGGCACTAATCATAATGAGATATGCCTGCTGGAGTCGAAGTGGACCTTTCCAGTGAATGGAAATCATTCCCACCACACCAAAATTCCAGATCAGGAGTGCAACAGTAATGTAGTCCACAGCAACGTTATAGGTTTTAAACACTTCCCTGAAAAAAAATTAAACAGATTTTAAAAGATTTATGTACAATTATTTTCATCAAAACATTATTTAGGCCGGGCGCGGTGGTTCAAGCCTATAATCCCAGCACTTTGGGAGGCCGAGACCGGCAGATCACGAGGTCAGGAGATCGAGACCAACCTGGCTAACCCGGTGAAACCCCGTCTCTACTAAAACATACAAAAAACTAGCCAGGCGTGGTGGCGGGCGCCTGTAGTCCCAGCAACTCGGGAGGCTGAGGCAGGAGAATGGTGTGAACCCCGGAGGCGGAGCTTGCAATAAGCCAAGATCTGGCCACTGCACTCCAGCCTGGGCGACAGAGCGAGACTCCGTCTCAAAAAAAAAAGAAAAAAACATTATTTAGAATAATGTGATGGCTCCCAAACATTAGATATTCATATCCCACCTTTATAATTTTACCATAACCTATATCAACTGTGCTATTATTTATTTAATACTTTCCTTTAAATTAATTTACTCTTTTTTGGTTGGGTTTTTTTTTTTTTTGGAGCCAGGATCTCATTTTGTTGCCCAGGCTGGAGTAAAGTGGTGCAATCACGGCTCACTGCAGTCTTGACCTCTGGAGATCAGGTGGTCCTCCCAGCTCAGCCTCCTAAGTAGCTGGGACAATAGGTGTGTGCCACCATGCCCAACTAATTTTTCTAATGTTTTTTGTAGAGATAGGGTTTCACCATGTTTGCCTAGGTTGATCTAAAACTCCTGGGTTCAAGCAATCCACCTGCCTCAGCTTCCCAAAGTGCTGGGATTACAAGCATGAGCCATGGTGCCTGGACAATTAATTCACTTTTTTCCCTCAAGTTGAACAATTCACTTTTTTTCCCAAGCTGAACTTTTTCTTAACAGGAAGCTCTGTATCATTCATATAAATGGGAAATCAGCTGCACAGGCCATAACTATAAAAATAATTACAAAAAGGAAAAAAGATCATATAATACCTAAAATACCACACTATACTTTGGGAAATATTAGTTTAAAACATCTGAAATTAGAAAAAATTAAACATGTGCTAAAAAATTTTATAGCTAGGACATACATTTTCATACAATGAGATTTAGCAGTCATTAAAAATAGATATATGAAGGATAGGCAAAGTGGTTTACGCTCTAATCCCAGCACTTTGGGAGGCTGAGGTGGGAGGAACTTGAGGCCAAGAATTCCAGACCAGCCTGGGCAACACAGTGAGACTCTACCACTACAAAAACATTTTAAAATTAGCTAAAGGTGACGGCACATGCCTGCAGTTCCAGCTACTCAGGAGGCTGGGGCAGGAAGATAGCTTGAGCCTGGGAGTTGGAGGCCGCGTGAGCTATGATGACACTACTGCACTCCAGACTGGGCAACAGAACAAGACTCTAACTCTAAAAAAGAAAAGAAAAAAAAAATATATATATATACACATATATATATATATGTATGTATTTTGGAATTTCAAAGTGGGAGATAAATCATCTTTCTGGATAGTATCTGAAACCCAAAGTTTATGCTTAAAGGTGTGCTTTCTTTCTCCTTCAAAGTGGGAGAAGAATCATCATACACACACACAAACACACAACACACTTTTATATATACACAATATAGGATCCCATTTATGATCCCATTTGTGCAAAATAGTGTGAGAGAACAGTAGATGAGAAATTGATATATTAATTCCTGAAAGCATGACAGGACTTATCTTTAGGTGGTGGGAATCTGGTCATTTTTCTTCTTTATCATCTTACATAATGTCTTTTTAAAACACAGTGACTATTCAGTATTTCTATAATGAAGAAAACGCTATTTTAATTTTGGGGAGGAAAAATCCACCATCTAATAACAAAGAGATTGCAACTATAGAAGATGCCTGAGGTAACTGAGGAGAAAGCAAGCACGCCTTTAAACTTTGAGTTTCAGGTACTGTCCAGAAAGATGATTCCTCTCCCACTTTGAAATTCCAAAATAGAGTAAACATTGAAATTTCTGGACAATGTAGATATTTATATTAAGCATTTCCGGTATCCTCGAACTAAAACAAAAACAAACAAAAAAACCTATTTATTACTCTTTGCCTAGGTAATACATGAATAAGATATAAAATTCACAACAGACACTGAAAAGTAGGTTTTCTCCCCATTGTGTCCCACGGTTCCCCTCTCTAGAGGAAAGCACTATTTTTTCTTGAGATGGGGTCTTGCTATGTTGCCCAGGCTGGCTATGAACTCCTAGGCTCAAGCAATCCCCGTCTCTACCTCCAAAAATGTTGAGATTACAGGTGTGAGCCACCGTGCCTGGCTGGAAAGCACTATTACTAATTTCATGTACATCCTTCCAGAAAGTCTATACATATCATACATATACTTTTCTACTTGACACAAATGACAGCATATTTTAATTTTTTTAATAGAGACAAAGTCTGTCACCCTGGATAGAGGGCACAATCATAGTTCACTGCAGCCCCAAAGTCCTTGGCTCAAGTCATCCTCCTGCCTCAGCCTCCCAAGCAGCTGGGACTACAGGCATGCACCACCATGCCTGGCTAAGTTTTGTATGTTTTGTAGAGATGGAGTTTCACCATGTTGCCCAGGCTGGTCTAGAACCCCTGGGCTCAAAGGATCCTCCCATCTCGGCCTCCCAAATAGGTGGGATTACAAGTGTGAGCCACCACACCCAGCCTTAAAATTTCTCAATAATAGATCTTGCATATTATCTTTTTTTCACTCCTCTAAGCTGTCACTTTATTCACTTAAAACATCTATTTCTTCAGAAGCAGGAACAGGGACTGCTGGCCCTCAGTTTTATTCACTTAAAATATCTATTTCTTCAGAAGCAGGAACAGGGACTGCTGGCCCTCAGTGCCCCTGCCTTCCTCTGCACAGTCTGAGTACAATGTACATAAGGAGGGGTAACCTGAGCTGGAGAGGGCCTGGAGCCACATCAGACCCATCCACCCAGTTGTTGGCCTACAACTGGCTGTGGATCCAAAGGAAGGTAGAGGTCAGCTCAGTCTACACATGCTACTGCTCAGTGCCTACCTGGTCACGGGAGACCAACACATGGTAAAGGTCAAGGGCTTCTTGGAAGGCAGTCAGCAGCCTGTGCAAGATGTTCTCCACACTGCTCAGCTTAAGGGGAGCTGGGGGCAGGACCTCAGCTGGCACCTCTGCTTCACCAGTGTCCAGGGTTTGCACAATTCTTGTTTACTTATAGATATTTCATCTTTTTTGCTGCTATCATACATGGGACTTGTCCTTTTATTATGTTTTCTAACTAGTTGTTTATGTGAAGGTTATTGATTTATGTTTTCATTTTATTTTACTTTTTTGAGATGGAGTTTCGCTCTCGTTGCCCAGGCTGGAGTGCAATGGTGCAATCTCGGCTCACTGCAACCTCCACGCCATTCTCCTGCCTCAGCCTCCTAAGCAGCTGGGATTACAGGCACCCACCACCACGCCTGGCTAATTTTTTGTATTTTTAGTAGAGGTGGGGTTTCACTATGTTGGCCAGGCTGGTCTCCAACTCCTGACCTCAGGTAATTCACCCACCTCAGCCTCCCAAAGAGCTGGGATTACAGGCATGAGCCACGGCACACAGCCAGGGTATTTTTGTTTAATTTTGTAATCAATTGCCTTACCAAACTTACTGAGTAATTTGAATTGGTTTTCGGTTAGTTCTAAAACAAAGTAAACAATCATTTTATCTCCAAATACTGGTAATTTAACCTTCTTTTCCAAATTACATAGTTCTTATTGCTTTCTCTTGTTTAATTGTGTTTGATAGTCCCTCCAGAGCAATGCTAGATAATTGGTGATAAAGAAAACTTTCATTTCAGCCAGGCACAGTGGCTCATGCCTGTAATCCCAGCATTTTGGGAGGCACAGGCAGGCGGATCACCTGAGGTGAGGAGTTCAAGACAGGCCTGGCCAACATGGTGAAACCTCTGCTCCACTAAAAATACAAAAATTAGTCAGGCATGGTGGCAGGCGCCTGTAATCCCAGCTACTTGGGAGGCCTTGAGGCAGGAGAATTGCTTGAACCCAGGAGGCGGAGGTTCCTGTGAGCTGAGACCACACCATTGCACTCCAGCCTGGATGACAGAATAAGATTCTGTCTCAGAAAAAAACAAAAAAAGAAGAGAAGAGAAGAGGAGAAAAGAAAACCTCCATCTCATTCCTGACCTCAGTAGGCAAGTTTCTAGTTTCCCTATGAGGATGACATTGGCCTTTAGAATGAGATGCATACATTTTATAATGTTAGAGATTTATTTATTTACTTATTTTTAGAGACTGGAGTGCAGTGGTGCAATCATAGCTCACTACAGGCTTGAATTCCTGGGCTCAAGCCATCCTCCCACCTTAGTCTCCCGTGCAGCTAGAACTACAGGCACACACCACAATTAGCTAATTTATTTTTTGTAGAGGCAAAGTCTTGTTACGCTGCACATGTTGGTATCCAACTCTCAACCTCAAGCTATCTTCCTACCTTAGCCTCCCAGAGTATTGAGATTATAAGCATGAGCCACCACACCTGACCCCATCTATTTGTTTTATTAAGGAATCTGATCAAGAACACGTGTGGAATCATCAAATGCCTTTTAGCAAGTACAGAGATGGTGATCTAGTGATATGGCAACTTATAATGAAGCAGTCTTCCATTCTGCAAACAAACTCCACTTGGTCAAATGTATTATTATGGCAGGGTGCGGTGGCTCACGCCTGTAATTCCAGCACTTTGGGAGGCCAAGGTGGGCGGATCACAAGGTCAGCAGATCAAGACTATCTTTGCCAACATGGTGAAACCCTGTCCCTACTAAAAATACAAAAATTAGCTGGGTGTGGTGGTGCACACCTGTAGTCCCAGCTACTTGGGGGGTTGAGGCAGGAGAATCGCTTGAATCCAGGAGGTGGGGATGGCAGTGAGCTGAGATCATGCCACTACACTCCAACCTGGGCGACAGAGTGAGACTCAAAAAAAAGTAGTATTCTTTCTATCTATTGCTGAATTCTCTTAATATTCTGTTATTCTTTTGAGATCAATAAATATAACTGACCAATAGTTTTCTTTTACTTGGTAACTTGCAAGGCTTTAGTTATCAATGTTATGCTGGCTTCTTTAATTAATTAATTAATTAAAATTAATCTGGAACCTTTTTTCTTTTTATATGTTCTGGAACACCTAGTATTAGAGTTACCATTCCTTAAATAAATGTTTAACAGAATTTCCCCATGAATCCACTGGGGCCCGGTACTATTGTTATTTGTGCAGGTGGGGTGGAAACTTCTTTGTAACTTTCTGTATTTCTTCTTTGCTCTGTTTAAATTTTCTCTCTCTTCAGGGGTCAGTTTTGATAATTTTTTTTCTAGAATATCATCCATTTCACGTAGATTCTAATATTTGCTTCTTTTGTCTGTAGTTATTTCCTTTAACCCTCTACCAAAGAAATAACTCTCCAATTTATTTATTAGTTTTACTGCCTCTTTGAATTTAAGAGCTAGTGCAATTGTTTACAAACTGTATTCTGCCACTTGAGCTGAGAAAAAGGCCAGGCTGGCAGATCTCTGAGCTTCACTATTCTCTTTGACAGACCAGATCCACTTTTTTCTATATTATATATGAAAATTTCATATAAGATTTCGTTTGAAAGAAAAAAGAGTCACCGAAAAAAAATACAGAAGTATGAAAATCAATTACTCTGGTTTTTATACATTCTTAAAACCCTTTCTTAACATTTTGATTCAGACTTCTACTAGAAGAATATATAATCTTCAAAAAGGCTTAGAATTAACTGCAGTCTTAAGTTCTTTCAGTTCTACTTATTATAAGCAAGGAGCAACAGAAGAATGTCTCAATTAGTAATACTGACTTGTCTTTTATATACCAAGTATGACCTAAATGTGGAAACAATTAAAACTTCAGAGTAATTCTTCAACAAAGTACATGGCTTTAAGTGATGGCTACAGAGCACAAAGGTAGTTAATTCTGAAAGACAGACCAAAAATTGCACGACTTACCCCAAGTAAATGAATGAAAAAAAGAACAGCAACAATAGAGATGATATAATAAGCCAGGCATGGATGACCTAGAAAAGAAAGCATTAAAATATAATTAACAGGTCCCACAATCCTTAAAAAGTACAAATTTTTTTTTTCTGAGACGGGGTCTCACTTTGTCGCCCAGACTGGAGTGCAGTGGCGTGATCTCAGCTCACTGCAACCTCTGCCTCCTGGGTTCAAGCAATGCTCGTGCTTAAGCCTCCTGAGTAGGTGGAACCACACATGTGTGACACCACGCTAGGCTAATTTTTGTATTTTTAGTAGAGATGGGGTTTTGCCATGTTGCCCAGGCTGGTCTCAAACTCCTGACCTCAAGTGATCCGCCCGCTTCAGGCTCCCAAAGTGCTGAGATTACAGATGTGCACCATCACGCCCGGCCCACATCTCTCTTTAAAACAACTTTATAAAATAGTACAACTTGGGAAAGGCCAACAGAATGGCTTTACCTAGATATTGGTACTTCGTGGACAGTTGAATATTCTTTTTTTTTTTTTTTTTTTTGAGACGGAGTCTCGCTCTGTCGCCCAGGCTGAAGTGCAGTGGCCGGATCTCAGCTCACTGCAAGCTCCGCCTCCCGGGTTCACGCCATTCTCCTGCCTCAGCCTCCCGAGTAGCTAGGACTACAGGCGCCCGCCACCTCGCCCGGCTAGTTTTTTTTTGTATTTTTAGTAGAGACGGGGTTTCACCGTGTTAGCCAGGATGGTCTCGATCTCCTGACCTCGTGATCCACCTGTCTCGGCCTCCCAAAGTGCTGGGATTACAGGCTTGAGCCACCGCGCCCGGCCCGAATATTCTTTTTTTTTTTTTTTTTTTTTTTTAACGGAGTTTCACTCTTGTTGCCCAGGATGGAGTGCAATGGTGTGATCTTGGCTCACCACAAGCTCTGCCTCCTGGATTCAAGCAATTCTCCCACCTCAGCCTCCCAAGTAGCTGGGATTACAGACATGCACCACCACGCCTGGCTAATTTTGTATTTTTAGTAGAGACAGGGTTTCTCCATGTTGGTCAGGCTGGTCTTGAACTCCCAACCTGAGGTGATCTGCCTGCCTTGGCCTCCCAAAGTGCTGGGATTACAGGCACTAGCCACCGTGCCTGGCCAACATTTGAATATTCTAAATTAAGTTGACTATCCAATACAACAAAGTTGTTTCTGGTGTTCTTCCACAAAACTTTTCCAACGTTTTGTTACAAAAATGTTCAAACACACAGCAAAATTTAACAAATTTTACAGTATATACTCATATATCACCCAGAGTCTACCATTCATATTTTGCAGTACTTGGTTTATAAAATTTCTTTCTAGCTCCTCATCCATTAGTCTTTGTTATTATTAACGCATATCAAAGTAAACTGAGAAGTCAGGCGTGGTGACACACGCCTGTAATTCCAGCACTTTGGGACGCCAAGGTGGGCAGATCATGAGGTCAGGAGTTCAAGACCAGCCTGGCCAATATGGTGAAACCCCGTCTCTACTAAAAATACAAAAATTAGCTGGGCGTGGTGACACACGCCTGCAGTTCCAGCTATTCAGGAGGCTGAGGCAGGAGAATCACTTCAACCTGGGAGGCAGAGGTTGTGGAGAGCTGAGATCGCGCCACTACACTCCAGCCTGAGAAATAGAGCGAGACTCCATCTCAAAAAAACAAAAAAAGTAAGGTGAGAACACTTGTATATTTCCCTCCAAATACTTCAACTTTAGCCTAAATTTTATCTCACTCTTTAAAACTTGTCTGTCTTGGCCAAGACAGACATTAACAGTGGGAGATGTACGCTGGGATTCCATATTAAGCTTTAAATTAAGGACCAGAATAAATATTAAATAACTGAAATTCTCATCTTTCTTGAGAGATGCTTTTCACCTTGGTTTTTTGGCAAGGGAAGAAGGAGATGTTCTTATTTCTTTTTTTAATTTTATTTATTTATTTTTGGGAGATGAAGCCTCACTCTGTTGCCCAGGCTGGAGTGCAGTGGCACGGTCTCGGCTCACCACAACCTCCACCTCCCAGATTCAAGCAATTCTCCTGCCTTAGCCTCCCGAATAGCTGGGATTACAGGCACCCACCACCACGCCCAGCTAATTTTTGTATTTTTATTAGAGATGAGGTTTCACCATGTTGGCCAGGCTGGTCTTGAACTCTTGATCTCAAGTGATCCACCCTCCTTAGCCTCCCACAGTGCTGGGATTACAGGCGTGTGCCACCGTGCCTGGCCTAATTTTAATTTTTTTTAACTGTACCTTATATGAGCCCCCAAATTTTTATTTATTATTTTTTGAGATAGGGTCTCACTGTGTTCGCCCAGGCTGGGGTACAGTGGCATGATCATAGCTCACTGCAATCTCAAACCACTGGGCTCAAGCCATACTCTCACCTCAGACTCCCTAGTACCTAGGACTATAGGCGTGGGTACGCCACCATGCCTGCCTTTTTAAATTTTTTTTTTTTTGTAGAGGTGGGGGGTCTCACTCTGTTGCCCAAACTGGTTTTGAACTCCTGGCTTCAAGTGATCCTCTGGTCTCAGATAGATTGGTGAAAGTCACCATGCCCAGTCTTGTTTATTTTAAAAATAGCATTTTTCTGAATCAAAAGTAACATATGCTTATAACATTTAAGAAACACAGAAACACTAAAAGAAGAAAACTATTCTAATGGGCAGTGACAACCAAAATTAATACCAACATTTCCCTTTCAGGCCAGGCACAGTGGCTCATGCTTGTTATCCCAGCAGTGTGAGAGGCTGAAGCAGGTGGATTACTTGAGGTCAGGAGTTTGAGACCAGCCTGACCAACATGCCAAAACCCCATCTCTACTAAAAATACGAAAATTACCCAGGCGTGGTGGCGGGTTCCTGTAGCCCCAGCTACCAGGGAGGTTGAGGTGGGAGGATTGCTTGAACCCAGGAGGTGGAGGTTGCAGTGAGCCGAGATAGCACCACTACAGTCCAGCCTCGGTGACAAAGTGAGACTCTGTCTCAGAAAAACAGTATGAAACAAAACAAAACCATTTCCCTTTCAGACATGTTTTCTATCTGCATGTATAGGCGTGTGTAAAGACCCTTTAACAGTGAGAATCAACTAGTGTACTGTTTACATTCTGCTTTCACAAACGTAATGTTTTATTACAAACATATTCTCATGCCACCAAATATTATTTGAAAACATGATTTTTTTTAAGAGACTGGGGTCTCACTATGTTTCCCAGGCTAGACTGGAAAACCTGGGCTCAAGCAATCATCTTGTCTCAGGGTCCCAAGTAACTGGGTCTACAGGTGCGTGCCACTGAACCTGGCTTGAAACTTTTATTTATTTATTTATTTATTTATTTATTTAGAGATGGAGTTTTGCTCTTGTTGCCCAGGCTGGAGTGCAACGGCGCAATCTCACCGCAACCTCTGCCTCCCAGATTCAAGCGATTCTCCTGCCTCAGCCTCCCGAGTAGTTGGGATTACAGGCGCTTGCCACCATGCCCGGCTAATTTTTTTGTATTTTTAGTAGAGATGGGATTGCTCCATGTTGGTCAGGCCGGTCTCGAACTTCCGATCTCAGGTGATCCGCCCACCTCAGCCTCCCAAAGTGCTGGGATTACAGGCATGAGCCACTGCACCCAGCTTAAACTATGATTTTTAAATGACAAAATAATAGTCTACTCACATGGATAAACCCACAATTGAACTTTTGCCTTATGCATGGAATCTGTATTGTTTTCCCTTTCTTTCCCCAATTTTAATTTACGCTAAAATGAACATCCTACTTCACAAATATTTTTCTGCATTTCCAATTCCTTCTTTAGAATATATCATAAAAGCAAGATTACTAAATCAGTGTACAAACTTTTTCTAATTACTGATTTAATTTGGCTTAGTTACTTGACAAAAAAGACTAATCTTGACAAAGTCAATATGCCACATATGTTAATTTGTTATTTTCACATGCATTTCTTTTATTACTATGTTATATACACACATTAAAACAGGGCTTTCTCATCTTGCAAAAATCCCTAGTTCTGCTTTCCTGTGCTAAAGGATATGAAAGAAAACAGCCCTGCTTCAGTACACAACAGTATCTTCTCTAAACCCTAAACCGTCAAGGCCAGAAATCATCTGACTTTACTAAGTTATAGTTCCTTTTATAACAAATTATGTATAATAATTAACTGCCTTTTCTGTTTCTAACATTTTAAGGTTTGGTCTTTTAGCTTCTAGGGCTTGCCATAGACATTGCATAACCAACCACTGATAGGAGAAATCCTCAGGGTTTATTTCTAAACAGGCTCTGGCAAGTTACTGATCTCTGACTCAAAAGCTCCTTTTACTAATATTGGGAGTCAAAGTAAACAACTTGTTTCTATATAATTGTTTGTGCGTGCTAAGACTTGAACATTAAAAAACATCACAACACAAATGAACAAGTCAATGTGGAAACCTGGCTGAATACAAACCCCTTAAACTGTCTAAAATGAAGGATAGGGCTGGGCGTGGTGGCTCAGGCCTGTAGTCCCAGCAGTTTGGGAGGCTGAGGCCAGTGGATCACCGGAGGTCAGAAGTTCGAGACCAGCCTGGGCAACATGGCAAAACCTCGTCTCTACTAAAAAGGCAAAAATTAGCCAGGCATGGTGGCGGGTACTGGTAATCCCAACAACTTGGGAGCTGAGGCAGGAGAATTGCCTGAACCCAGAAGGCGGAGGCTGCAGTGAGCCAAGATCACATCACTACACTCCAGCCTGGGCAAGAGACCGAGACTCTGTCTCAAAAAATAAAACAAAATGAAGGATGGATAAAAGATGCACAAATGTGACAAAAAATATATTAAGAAAGATTCCAGATAAGATGGAGTAAAGCACATTCCACTCTCTCTGTCCCACTGAACACAGTTACAAAACCTGGGCAGAAAGCAGGCAGCAGCTGGTTGCAAAAGATGAAAAGTAACTAGAGGTAGGTGGGCTGGGGAATTAGAAGCACTAGCAGTGAGCCTACCATTTTTTTCTTCCTCCATCTGTACTCAATACAACCTGAGTGGGCATTAGCAAGA